GGGAAATCTGCTGTTAGGAAGTTTCAAAGATGTCATAAAAAGTTTATAGAAATTTGGATAAAAAAAGCACGGTAGCAAGATCAAACAGATGGTACTATGCGGTTGGAATTCTGTAATGTATCTTTCGTCGTAGAGATGAAAACTTTGTGACGAAAGGTTTATGTAGCAATATAGGAACATTTTTTTTTTTTGATTTTCGAATAAGAATAACTAAATTGTAGTAGCAGTAAGGTAGGAAACCAGAACCTGTTGCAATTCGCGGGGAGATCAAAGGATGATCCGCGGTGGTGGAGATGATGGCGGAATTCGGCGACGATCTTTTAAGCAATTGTGGGAATTGCTTTAGGCGGTTGTGGAGGGCCTGATGGATGGCAGTGGAAGGGCAGCGAGATGCCAAGAACGCTGCTCTGATACCAGGTGTTAGAACCCTTGCAGATTCTAAACTTAGGATTGATCTCTTTAGGGGATCGGCCTCCTTGGAACTCTATAGGGGTTCCTCCCTCCAAGTTGCTGCTCAAAGGCTGCAGAAAAGATTCATCTATTGCCTAAGAAAAGAGAAGGAATACATGGCTATTTATAGGGCTTCTAAACCCTAAATCCTAATAGGACTCCTGCTTAAGACTCTTACTTCTATAGGACTCCTACTCAAGACTCCTATTCCCTTACATCTCCTAATTCTTCTCTAAGAAAAAACCTCCTACATGAATGCCCCTCTCAATTAGGACTCTCATAGCTAGAGTCCTAACAGAATGTCCCTCTCAATTAGGACTCTCTTGGCTAGAGTCCTAACAGTTTTACATATGTCTCTCTCAATTAGGACTCTCCAAGCTAGAGTCCTAACAGCTGGATGATGGTTGCAACAAATTTATGTATTTTCCACAATAGACCATATACTACTGGTTGACAAGTTGATGTGCTGTACAGTTATTTCAGTAAACTAGGAAATATATTCTTCTATCAACACTGCACTTATGCACTAATTATGGTGGATGATCATATGTTGCATGTAGGTTATTTCATTGTTTGCCTACCTGATCTAGCTGTGTCTTCATGTTTTTGTTGTTTTGCTTTTTTCATTATTATGAGGAACTTTTTATTGATTTATAAAGGTTTGCAGATATCAGCTGTTGCTAGAATCAGAGATGAACTGGCTTATGCAACCCACACATTCTTCAGGAAAAATGGATTTCGTTATGTGCATACTCCTATAATCACTACTAGTGATTGTGAGGGTGCTGGTGAAATGTTTCAAGTTACTACACTTTTTAGTAAAGCGGAAAAGGAAGAGAAAGAGTTAAAGCAGAACCCTCGACCATCAGAAACTGACATCGAAGCTGCTAAGCTTCTTGTCAAGGAGAAAGGAGAGACAGTCTCACAGCTAAAATCATCAAAAGCAAGCGAGGAAGAGATCAGCGCTTCGGTTTCTGAACTCATCAAGGCAAAAGAAAGTCTATCGCGACTGGAAGAAAGGTTTAAGTTGAAAGCTGGGATTCCTCAGAAAGATGGGAAGATTGATTATGCTGGTGATTTTTTTGGGCGACAAGCTTTCCTCACTGTATCTGGTCAGCTTCAGGTCGAGACCTATGCTTGTGCCCTGGGTAATGTTTACACATTTGGACCAACATTTCGAGCAGAAAATTCGCACACGACACGGCATTTAGCGGAATTTTGGATGGTTGAGCCAGAGATAGCATTCGCAAATTTGGAGGTACTGCATGTGGATATAGTTGTTTCATTTGTTGAAGTGTCTTCTTTACCTAGTACTCTATGCAATAATATTTTGAATTGGCTATTATCTGTTTTATCTATTTATTTATTGTTTTATGTTCTGAATTTTTTGACATGATGTTTCTTTTGTCTATATCCTAGTCTTGTATATGATCTCTGTAGATAATTTTATTGGCTATGCATTGTAGGATGACATGAACTATGCAGAAAGTTACGTGAAATTTCTCTGCCAATGGTTACTGGACAACTGTATTGAAGATATGGAATTTTTGAAGACTTTTGATGAGGCAGCTATAGAGCGTCTTAAGCTTGTTTCATCATCGCCGTTTGAGCGTATTTCATATACGAAGGCTGTGCAGCTTCTAAAGAATGTCACAGACAAGGAGTTTGCGATTGAGGTAGAATGGGGAATTGATTTAGCATCAGAGCATGAAAGGTATGTGAAACACATGTATAAGTACTTTTCTGACTATTTTCTTGGAAACCTCACAGTATAATGGTCTGTTGGACTGTCAAGGTACTTAACGGAGGTGTTATTTAAGAAGCCTGTGATTGTATACAATTATCCCAAAGGAATAAAAGCATTTTATATGAAGCTCAATGATGACCAAAAGACAGTAGCAGCTATGGATGTGCTTGTGCCTAAGGTATGCCTTTATGTTTTTGGTAATGTGTTTTCACTTGTCTATTTCTTTTGAGAGATAAGCTTAGGTTTGTCTCTGTGGTCCAGCAACAAACACACAGATATTTGAATTACTACAAATAGTACATTTTAACAGATTATGTGACTTCTTTATGTTTTAGGTTGGTGAGCTGATTGGTGGAAGCCAAAGGGAGGAGAGGTTAGATGTGCTTGTAAAAAGGTATACAAATATTTGTCTACTTGTCATGATTGTGTTGCTTTCTAGACCTTTTATTATCAACTTGAATATAATATGCACGCAATTCTTCTACCACCTTTTCTCCTAGAGGCTGATCAGGCAAAACACCTACTGGCTAAATTAACACATTTGTATGCACATCTGATGCAAGCAATATTTGCATTTGTCTGCAAGACAAGAATGTCAAATTTCCTGGCTGTTCCTGGACTTAAGAGGCATGCTACATATGTTCCAGAGAACAGGAAAATTATTTCACATACCGGTTCCCTTCTAAGTTCAGTTCCATTTTACTTCCATCACAATCTTGAATTCTTTGTAACCTAGATGTAGAAATTACTGTATGTTGCCAAAATTGTGGATAATTAACACTTTTGACAAATTGAAGCTAATTGGCTTTTTTCCTCTCAATTTATTTTCAGAATATAAGTGATACTTTGTGCTAGGATAATCTAGGTCGGTAGAGATCATTCTAATTCTCTTGTTTCCTGCCTGCTTTTGCAGAATTAAAGAGTCAGGGTTGCCGCTTGAGCCATATGAATGGTACCTAGACCTCCGTCGCTATGGTACCGTCAAGCACAGCGGATTCGGACTCGGTTTCGAGCGGATGATTCTTTTTGCTACTGGCATGGAAAATATCAGAGATGTAATCCCTTTTCCAAGATACCCAGGGAGGGCGGACCTCTGATTCAAAAATCTTGTTTTTCATAGCATGCAAATATTGTCATACAGTGCATGTCAATCTGCAAAATGTTGACCTTTGGCAATGCCTAGGAAGTGTGAGATTTTTATAGCCAATCCAGTTAAAAGTATGGATGACTTCGTTTTTTATTATTCGAGACAGAGTGAAGTATTTATTTTATCTGCAAATTTATTGGTTCGCCATCACTAACTGTTCTTTTGGTGGGTAGCGTTAGCATCTGGTATCTCCCAAGTCTAACCTAAAAGCTACGGCCAGTAGTCTAAGATATTGCCATGGATGCTAAATACTTTTGTGTTTTATTGTTAGATGAATAACTGAAGAAAATAGCTACTGATGCTTTTCTGCGTTCTTGCTCTTTACTATCCTAATAATTAAAGAAGATATACATAATGCTCCACCAGGCTTTTCAGCAATACAAGTTCTGGAGAGGGCTTTATGTTCTTCTAAGTATAAAGGTGATGTTTTCATCACTTGAACCCAAAATCATATTGCATATGATGTTTCATCGCCATTAAGTATTGATCCAATAAATTAAACTAAACCAAATTAATAATAATAATAATAATAATCATGATATAAAATAATAAATTAAAATATTTTATAAACCATAAACACTATAATCGAACTTCTTATTTTATATAATACTTAAATATATACAAATATTCAAAATTTTCTTGTTAAAAAAATAAAAAAAAAAAGTTTAAAATAATTTTGGAAGACATAAAAATGTACAATCCAAGTAAAAAAAAATGTATATATTTTTCAATATGTTTTGTTTATTTTATGATCAGTTTAGTATCTTGAAATATTATATGTCAGTATATTGTCCTAAAAATTGTTTCAAAATATAAATATCTACAATCTATGCTGGTATGAATTTTAAATCATCTTGCAAATTTTAGAAAAAAATGTGTTAAAATGTAGATGTGTCTAATTAAAAACTTTGAAACCGACTCAAATTTATTTAACTAAATATGAATCAAACCAAACCCAGCAATGGAAAAAATAATAATAAATAAAAATAAAAAAGGATCTAAAAAGTTCCCCATGCCTTTTTAGTAGTAAAATTGAAAAAAAATAAAAAAATCTCTACTTAAATAAAATTAAAAACAGAGCATTCTTAAGGAAAAGAAAACAAAAAAAAGCATGTCCGTTTTCAGAGGTCCCCGCTTGGTAGCACCAGAGACTCTCTCCCACATCATTATGATCATCAACTTGGTCTTTACCATATACTATTTATAGATGGTATCATTTATTCCTTCGTATTTAAAATATAATATTGATAGATTAGTTATATGGTCCATTAATAATGTTTTTCCATGAGTAATAACGATCTACACATATTACTGTCAACTAAATCATAAACATTCTCATTCTCTCTCATCTCATTCCATCCCATTTTGAGTTCTTTGATGAATGATAAATTATTTGAACAGCGGTTTGAACGAAGATTAGTGAAAGATAAAATAAATGCATTTAATGTGTAACATGAAAGAGCAACATAAGAACCTTTGCATAAATACTAGAAATTGAAGGACTTAGTAAGCAAAGTTGATCAGTTTAGGGAAATGAGACAACACGATAGAACCGGATGAGGTTTCGCCGTTATTGTTAAGCTGTGTGGCAGCTTTCCTTGTCTGGTTTTGTTGGTTCCTTTCCTCATTCGTCCTTGAGGAGAGAGAGAGAGAGAGACAGAGAGAGAGAGAGAGGGATCGAATCTTGGGTTGTTCGGTTCGGTTTCTTGCTTGCAACGGCGGCGGCGAGATCGCCGACAAAGATGCGAGGTAGGAGATGTGGAAGGAGGTCAGGGACAGGGAAGCGGGTAAGTTGCCCCCGATCACATTCGCCAGCCGTGTCCGCTCCCGTCGCGTTTCCGCCCTCGGCCTCTCCAACCACAAGGAGATCGTCAGCCCCCACCACGGCGCCGTCAACGCCCTTCAGGTCCCTCTTCGATCTCTACCCCCTTCCTTCTTGTTGCGTGTTCATCATGGAATCGGAGAATTCGTTCGGTTCTGGACGGATCCTCCTATTCGAGAATTTCCACAATGTTGTAACTTTACAACCGTACTTGCTTGTTTTATCCCTTTTTATGCATCGACATGGTTATGATCTGCCACTACCTTCTTTTGTTTCCTCCTGGGTGTTACTGATCTAAGGAAATAGAAGTAGCAGAATTCGGGTGAAAAGTAGCATTACCCATCGTTGACAGAAGAACATTCTACTTCTTTCTATGGCCTACTTGATCTTTTTGTTTTATCGATTGTAATCATCTCTTTTGCTGAGGGCATAACTGGCAATGAATAGTTTCTTTAGGGAACTTAGATTCATAATCTTTCATAGTGAATAATTCTTTAGAGACAGTGTTATGGTCATATAAGTTGACAACATGGTCAGGTTGACTTGACAGAGGGGCGATATCTACTTTCTGGAGCATCGGATGGATCAGCTGCTGTTTATGATATCCAACGTGCAACTGATTATGAGGAAGGTCTGATTGCGAGACACAGGAGTCTATTTGTGGTTGACAAGCAACATGAATATGGACATAAATTTGCTATATCCGCTGCCATCTGGTATCCAGTAGACACAGGCTTGTTTGTCACGGGTTCTTTTGACCATTTTGTCAAGGTTTGGGATACAAATACGACTCAGGTAGGCTTTTCTCGTTGATTTATCTTTCATGTATCTTAATCTACATGATTTCTTATTTCTTGCATGTCTAATGGTTAGGGTGTCATGGATTTTAAAATGCCTGGAAAGGTTTATGGCACAGCAATGTCTTCAGTAGCTAAGGCACACATGCTTATTGCTACTGGGAGTGCAGATGTTCAAGTTCGTCTCTGTGACATTGCTTCTGGAGCATTCACTCATACATTATCGGGTCATCGTGGTAAGAGACACCTAACATGAGACAATGTTTTGCTTTTTTTTAGTCACCATTTCACATGCTTGGATCTCTCAGTTCATGCATTTCCTCGAACATATTAAATCATCATGGTAAGATACAAAAATGATTCTTGTGTGAGATTGTTTTTTGATATTTTGCTTGTGTTCAATGCATTTTGTCACATATCAAAGGCTTATTATGTTGCCTTCAACTTTATGACAAGGTTCTGCTGATTATACACTTGGCAATACTGAAAATATAAGCTTATAAGCTTAAGCTTGAGAGAAGAGGGTAATAACTTGGTATTATGATTCTGAATTGATACGGACTCCTGATACAAAGTCCCTTTTCTCTCTCTAAGTTATATTCATCTTTACTTATTGCTAACCAGTTTTAAATTTCTTAACAATAAGGACCTAATGCGTGAAAAATGATCTGTTCTGGATCATGATACATGGTATGCCACTTGGCTCATGATATATCAGAGGTTATTCACTTCCATTTTTAAGTAACATATTCAATCACTTAGGTAAGATATATTGAGCTAAATAGGTAATTAGCTTTTGCATTTAATTGGGTCAAAGGTCAATAAGATGGTGCTATAGAACCTGAGAGTTCTGAATTTTCACTGTTAATTGTTTAACACTTTAATATTTGAAGATTCTCTTGAATGGATTTTAGAGGAGAAAGACCTCATATATATATTTTATAAATTAAATAACATTTATGAGATTGGATTTCCAGTTCTCATCATTATATATATATATATATATATATATATATATATATATATATATATATATATATAACAATCTAGGTATCTGTTTGGGACACAAAACAAAATTGTGATTCGAGAGGCTTAAACTGGAATGGTCTCTAAACTGGGTGGACTGAGTCTAACATAGTTACACTTGCTGGTTGTACAGTAGCACTTCAGCTGATATTCTTTTCTCCTAACTGGCAGACCTTGTCATGTGAGCCTCGATGCAGATTGAACTGTCATGGCTAGTTATTATCTTCCAAGTGATGATGCCTTATATTGTATGACTTGCACAAGTATTGGAGAATAACAGAGCTTACATCGTTTTGTTACTCATGATCAAAGTTCTCGCTTCTAATATAATATGGTTTTGCAGTTTGTCCTCTAAGTAGGTCCTTCACTAACTAAGCTTGAGTATTATTTTAAAAAGATACACTGGAATTACCTTTAAACTGTTCCACTGTAGGAACTTAATATATCAATTACTGTTCATTCTAGAAATATTACCGTAATGCTGTTCCAATTCGATTGAGCCTCATATGTTAAAATATTATTGTTTTGGTGGTCTTAATGGGTATACAAGGAGTATTGAGCTTCCAAATATTCTTATCAAAAAGTAATTGTGCTACATGCTTTAGTTTGTCAGTGAAAATAAGTTATCTAACTAACTAATCTGGCATGAACCTAGACTGGACCTTGAGGTATACAAGAAGTATTGAGCTTCCAAATATTCCTATAAAAAAGTAATCCTGCTGCATGCTTTAGTTTGTCAGTGCAAATAAGTTATCTAACTAACTGATCTAGCATGAATCTAGAGTGGGCTTTTAGGTATATATCAATTGGTGTTCGATCTAGTTTATGATTGTAACGCTGTTCCAACTTGGTTGAACTTCATACATCAAAATATTATTGGTTTATTGAACTGAATGGGTAGCTAAGAAGTGTTTTAGTGTCCTCATATTGTTATAAAAAATAAATCCTGCATGCTTTACTTTATCAGTGAAACTAAGTTATCTAATTAACTGATCCAGCATGAACCTAAACTGGACTTTGAGGAATTCCTAAATTCCTACCAACCGCACTTGAATTTTTTGTTATACCAATTTTTCAATTTGAAATATGTTTTTTCACTTTAATTTATTAATGAAATTAAATGCCAACTCTTGTACAACTGAAACATAAACATGATACATTAAAAGAAAATTTAGAATAAGAAAGAAGGCTCATACACCTATCATGAAGAGGAATAATTTTCCAAAGGCTGAACCATTGACTTAGTTATGTAAAACTCAGGTTTCTGCCATTTTCATTTGCTATTATCTTGGAGGATGCACATATTGACAAACACATGTATAATATTCATATATGTGCGTACATACATACATACATACATACTTACATACATATGTATGCAGTACTTTTTCTTGGTCCATTAAGATTAAAGAGAGTGACACAACAATAATAGACATGTGCGATAACCTATTATCTTTTACCATCATGTATGCAGTAACTGTAACATTTTTGACCATTGTCATATCCAGTGATTTGTTCCATGTATTTTCGTTTTCATAGAATGTCCTTTTCTAAACGTACAAAAGTTGACTTAAATGATGTTCAAGGATTCTTACAGTGTTTGTCTGCAATGTCAGATGGAGTCATGACTTTGGAATGGTCTACTTGTAGTGAGTGGATTTTGATGACTGGGGGTCGCGACGGTGCAATACGTTTTTGGGACATTAGACGTGCAGGATGTTTCCGTGTTTTAGACCAGTCACAATGTCAGCTTGGAAGGCGACCTCCTTTCCTTGAAAACACATCAAAAGGGGTATGCTTGCTTGACATATGATTGTGCTTTTAATCTATCGTACACATTTCTGACATTCTTACATCACACCAACCTTTGAATATATCTCCAAGAAAATGCGGACAGAGCCATATTTAAGGTTGCATAACTGCATAAACAGTCATATAGCAATAGACCATTCAAACACTCTCATGTAAGTTATTTTTTGTTCTTTGCAAGGTCGTTAAACTTGCGATTTGGGTTATAGGATCGTGCGATCTCACGACCCAATTTAGGCCTGGCCGTTGGGCTAGTCATTGCTAGGATTGGGCTGATTTGGGAGTCGACTTGTAAGATCTGTTGACTTTTTCAAGTCAACTTAAGTTTATTGATTCAACTCGATGGGCCTTATATAAAAAAGCAAATAAATGCCCAAAGATGAGGCGATGTGCCAGGCTGTGACATGATTCCGATAGCATCATATAGGCAACGAGGAGACAAGCGACTGTTGTTGGTAGCAGCCAAAGGATCTGCTATTGCATCTATCCTCGTTAGCTGTTCAACATTTCATTGGCTGTCACTTCCTCTCTGGTAGCCTTGGAGGTTCCATTCCTATCTCTCCTCTCTTAAATTATTCTCTCCTTTCCTCTCCTGTCCTTCCATCTCTCCTATTTTCTCTTTTACTGTTCTATTTTTTTTTCCTTTTCTACTTACTGTCTCTGACTTATCTGATGCCTCTTTTCTTTTGTTGCATGCTTCTATTGTACTGGCTTAGTATTTGATGCTCTTGCCCATGTGCAACAAAGAGAAAGAGGCATCGAATAATATGCTGAGTACGGTAGAAGCATGCAACAAAGGGAACAAGGCATCAGATAATAACCTGAGTAGAATAAAAGAGGAGGAAAAAATAATCCATAGAAGGGAAGCGAGGGGAAACAAGAAGAGAAGATAGGGGAAGAGAGGAGAGATTTATACAAGGTAAGAGGAGAGAGAATAGTAGAAAGGAAGAGGGAAGAGACCCAAAGAGAAGGTAGGAGAAGGGAGGAGAGGAGAGACGGGAATAGTACTTGAGTTATGAGAAGCGAAGTGATGGCTAGTGGCATCTCCAACGGTTGGTGAGGATAGATGCAGCAACAGCCCTCGTGTCCGGCAGTGGATTAGGGCTTTCGTTTCCTTGAATCTCATATGTTGTTTGTAGCCTCACATGTTGCATCATCTTCGGGCGCTTGTTTGTTTTTTTATAGAAAGCCCATCTAGTTGAAACAATAAATGTTTTAATAGAAATCCCATTGAGTCGAACCAGTAAAACTCAAGTCAACGTGGATGAGTCAACTGATCTTACCAAGTTGACTGATGAGTTAACCCAATCCCAGTTTTTTATGTTTCGGTGACCGGCCCTGACTTGCCAGACATGATCTGGGCCTAAAATTGCACGGTCCTATGGTCTAGATTATGAGTTTAACAACCTTGGTTTTATTCATTCAATTAATGGCCAGTTCTCACTTTTGTTGCTATGCTATGGACTGTTTCTACTTGGAAGAAAAATCTTACTGGCACGTCTACACCATACACCAGCATAATACCTTGTCCAGAAAAAACTTGAAACAACCTTTCCTTTAGAGTTCATATCTATCTAGTCACAAACTCACTGTATTCATGCATAGGCTGCTTATTTCGTTTAAATCAACTTCTTCTCTATGCATGAATGAACACTTCAACAGAGTAGTTTATACTTTGTTATTATCCAGAAAAATCTTAATGTTAAAGCACATGCTTATGGCAAGCTTGACACTATCTGTTGTTTTTTTCTTGTAAATAATCTGATCTTTTTTCTTTTACCAGATTGTTGCAAGGACATCCCTTGCAGGGTCATCTTCTTTGGCTAATAAGTCTGTATCTAAGAAAAAAACTGCTCTTGGTAATGGGATGAAACAGTCGCAAGCCCTTCGTAAGCCTCAAAATCTCTTAAGAACGCCTGTGCGGCAGAGATCACATCCTGGAATGTCTTCTAGTCATGATCGAGCAACAGCTCATTATGGTGCTGTGACTGGATTAAAAGCAAGTGGAGATGGCATGTATCTTCTGAGCTCAGGTTATCGCTATAAATTCTCATAGCAACACTTTTTGTAGCACTATATAATTGAATGACCTGGAGCAGGTGACTAGAAATAGATCTTTAACTTTACAAATTGGTTTTCTCTGGTTATGGCTTCATTTTTACTACGGAACTCTTTTCTTAAACACTTGTTCTGTTTCAGGCTCAGATGCACAATTAAGATTGTGGGATATTGAATCTGGTTTGAACATCTTGGCCAAATATGAAGAAATGCGCCCGCAGACTACCAAATCATTACATCTGGCTCTTAACCAAGACTCATCTCTTGTGTTTGTTCCATGCATGGCAACTGTGAAGGTGCCATAACCTTTTTATCCTGAACTACATTTTAACCATAATTACAAGAGGAATGAAGAAATTTTGAAGGGAGAAGGGGACTGTCGTACTTCATATCTGACCTTTCCTCTTTATCTTGCTAGGCATGTGATGTGTGGTCCGGCTTGACACTCCAAACGTTTCGTGGTCACTATGAATTAGTCAACTGCTGCTATTTCAATCTGCAGGATCAGGTAAGAGTTACTTTGAGCGTAGTAATCTGGAACGGAATACACTCATACAGATGCATTGATACAATGGTTTTGAAGGGTCATGCTTATCATAATATCCTGGCTTATAGGAGCTGTATACTGGGAGCAATGATCGGCAAATTCTTGTGTGGTCTCCCCCCAGTGCAATTATAAATGACTTGGTATCGCTTCACAAACATCTCTACTCATCCAGTCATAAATTACTGTTTTTATTTGCTGATTAACACAGAAGTCTACCATTTTTTTTTTTTTGTATGAAACTTTGAGAAGTGCCCACCATGATTTTTTTGCGTTGTTTTGCTTTAGTAGTAAGTAAAATATTTTTGCATATTAAGGCTTTTGGTGTTTGGTCTTTTGATCAAACGCAAAGAGAAATGTCATTGTCGTTGTGCTTATAAATCTTTTGTAGTTTCAACTTTCAAGAGAGAAGAATTCTCATCGTTCCTTTTCCTTTTACCCTAATCTGTTCAACTGCTGTGACGTATACTTTTGTCTAAAATGGAATACTATCGAAATGTCTGACATGTGCAGGAAGAAGATAATAGAAAAGAAGGAAAATTTTCAGCAGATAAAGATAACTGGAGCGACTAAAAATGCTGCCTTTTCATGAATTTTGCTGTAATTAGAAGTTTTTTGGTCTTTGAAGACAGACATAGATGTAGAGATATGCAATTCTGGGGGTTTACATGGTCTCTATTCATTGCTATGTTGTGTAACCAAACTAACACGTAATTATACTAGTTCTTATGGCAACGATAAAATGTTTCTTTAGTGTGCCTTGTGCTTCTGTATAGTAGTGAGCGGCACTGATTTGTTTGGAAAATCTGTGAATATTTCTGGCCTCCCTACGCGTGCCACTTTATTAATGTGGTAAAGTTAATGATTCTTCATTGTAGCGTTTCATGATTCACAATAAGCATGTGATTTGTGATTTGAGACCTCCACCATCCGCCGTTCATTGCGTTATGTAATGCCTTAACACATGTAAATCTTCATTCCTTCCTGTAGGTAGTGACCGGCACAATTCAATGTTATGCTTTCATCATTGAATATTACTGGGGGTAATCTATTTGCTTATTATTATTATTTTACTTATAATTTGGATTTTGTTTGTCTGAGATAAAAGTTGATTCATCTGACCTTATTTTTTTGCATGAGTCAGATCTCGAATCAAACTTCACCGTTCCGATTTGATTCTTGCAAAATTTATATCAAGGTATTCCTGACAGTGTCTCTTCGATTCTTATGTCAGTAACTAGTCGAACGGGCTGGATGTCTTTTGAGTTCAAAGATTGGACTTGAATGCACCTATGGATCCCTCTTTGATAGTGGGTTCCATGAGCCATTACCTCCGGATAGTAGGTCATCGACGGAAAAGTGGTGCGTTAATCTCGGGTGTGATTGTCGTCGATCCGCATCGTGTTATGCTTTGACACATGGTGAGGTGTGAATAGTTAAGGGGACGTGTTGGGGTAGCTATCGTGGTGCACAAGTGTTGGTCACGTGGTGCTGAATGGTCAATCATCTGGTACCGAGATATTAGCTATGTGGTACAAGGTATCAACCACGTAACGCCAATATGTTGGTTAGTCGTTGCCAAGGTGTTGATCTTGTAGAAATTTTTTATTAGTAGAAATTTTGTAGAGATATATGTAAATTTATCAATTTATATGGTGTGTATGCATAAGGAAAAAAAATCTACAACTCCCTAAAATTCCATTTTACACCTTTTTATTCCTTTCCTTAAAGATGCTATTTCTTTTTTCTTTCACAGCCTATTCCTGTTTAGGATTGTGACTGAGAAGCAAAAGTCTTTATATGCAAATCCTAAGAAAAATAAAACCAAAGAATCAAAGAAGAACACTTCATCCTTATCATCTGAACAGTACCGATCGCAACCAACCAAAAGATCAACATCGATACTGCAGACTAAGTAACACTCACAGAAGATACATCAAGAGAAACGTCTTAGACTTTCCAACCAAAACAAGCCACATTCAATTCATCCAACTGTACCTGAGAAAGTTCAGCATAATTGATACTTGTGCACTCAAATGGACATCAGCAGTCAATAATGGAACTTTTGTGCTGCAAGTGTACTTACGCAAATGACCAACACCATACTTGAGCTCTCCCCAGATTTCCTGCTACTTTGTGCGCGCGCGCACAGGCACACAATAAGTTCATCAGCATCCTTGCCACCTACTTTTTGCTGCTAGTGGACTGAAATGTGTGCAGCGATGCTTGCACAACTTTGTCAATGTTGGGATGTTTCTTTCTTTTATAAGGTCAAGATGAAGCTAAAGTGAGGCATTAATTTGCTACTTAATAAAACGCTGTCTACTGAAAGTGACTTGGATATATATATACATACATACATATATGTATATACATACATATATACATATATATATACATAGATATATGTATATATATGTATATATATGTATATATATATATATATATACATATATACATATATATATATATATACATAAATATGTACATACATATGTATATATATATATATATGTATATGTATATATATATATGTGTATATATATATACACATATACATATATATATATATATGTATATATATATATATGTATATATACATATATATGTATATATATATATATGTATATATATATATATGTACATATATATATGTATATATATATACTAATGTGATAATACTAATTTATCCTTTAATTCAATTTTTTAGTTATTCCCTTCATAAATCGAATATGTTCATTATATAACCTAAAAATTATAATTTTACCCTTTAGAAATAATGTTTTTTTACTTATGTCCTCAATTATAAAATTGACTAATTTGATTTATTTTAATCAAATATTTTGATCAGACTTGATCATGACTATATTTTGACTACTTGATTAGATTTAGATTCAATCAATCAATATTTGATCAAATTAAAAAAAAAATTGATTTTGATCAACTTTAATTTTGACTGATCTAATTGGGTTGATGCTAAGTCAAATCCTAAGCTTGCCTTAGTAAATAAGTTGAGTGGTCTAAACCTAGTTACACATAGAATTAAAAAATATATAAATTGTGATTTTTTATAGTTTTTACATATGATATATTGATAAATTTTTTACATTTGATAATTAACATTTAATTATT